GGGTCCGTCAACCTTCTCGCGCCCCTCACGCCGCCGTGGCCTTCTGAGGACAAGGGGGCCGCTCAGATTGCGAAGCTTGAGGAAGCCGCCGCCGCCGAGAAGTTGTTGATGATGCGACGGGCCCTTCGCCCATTGCTGGCAGTGGCGCCGCGTCCGCGCGCTCCTTAGGCGCCGACGCGAGCGGCCTGCTCTCGGAGTGAGCGCGGAGCGTGGCCCGAGCTCGGCTGGGAGAGTTGGACCGACCTATTGCCGCAACATCGCGTGATGAAGATCGCCGGGGCCGACCATCTCATCGCGGCGCGCGGGGCGCAAACCGGCGATGCGGAGGGCGAAGGGCAGGATGGGTAGACTGCCAGGAAGCTACGATGGGGTCAGCTACCGCGCGACTTGAAGCCGGCGATCCGAAGGCCGCGCGAGAACTTGGGCCGCGCGCCGAAGATCGAGGTGTTGAGGGCCCTGAGGATTCCGAGAGCCTCGGGGGCCGCGATCAAGGCGCGCCGCGTCTCCGCGCGCGATCGTTGCGAGCGCGCGAGACGACCGCTACTGGCCAAGCCGAACACGCTGCCGACCGTTGACGAGTTCAACGCAGTCGCGGGCTGCGACACTTTCTCCGAGACGGACGCGGGCCAGGCGGGGCGGCAAGGTTCGCAAGCTGGCGGGCTCAGTCGCGGTGCTGGAGACCCACGTGCCGTGCTGGGCATCTTGGGCAGGCGAGCCCGAAGTCGGAATCGTCGTCGACAGGGCCAGGGGGTTCCCTGGCAGCTTTTCGGAACACCTGTCCAGCCGAGGATGCCGCTTCGACTCGGCCGCCAAGGCGGCGGGATAGCGCATCGCCAAGGTGGAACGAAATGGAGACCCATGGCAAGCCATGTGGAGGAGAGCCCTATGGGCCATCCTATGGGCGAAGCAGTTGTGCGAGCATTCAGTTAAGCTTCTTGTTTTGGTTCGTTCCATGCTAGATAAGCTTTTTTCTTTGAAGCCGTTATTTTTCGCAGCAAGAATTCTGCCTATTCCAGTTAGGCTTTTGCTAGTCAGGCCCATTTCATGTCGGTCTAGTTTGATTCGGCCTGGTTGTAGCTGGGCCTGGCCTGGTCCCAGCTGCACGAGCATTGAGTCAGGCCTATTTTACTTATGCCTCTGTCATGTATGCATTCTCTGGTGAGACCGATTGTAGACTGAGTTGTTTTAGTAAGATCTATTTTCGCTCGGCCATGTTTCTTGGGCCTGGTTGTAGCTGGACCTGGCCCGGTTCCATCTGCGCGAGCAGTTCGGCCTCTTGTAGTTTGGATCATTCTAGTTCGGCTTACTTACTGTTGAACTGTTTTAGTTAGCTGGGCCTGGCCTGTTCGAAGTGCGCAAGCATTTCGTTAGACGGATGTGGGCCCGACATGTCTTAGTTAGGTGGACATATGTTTGTTATACCTACTTTAATTTTTCAGTTTGTAGCCAGACCTGGTTTAATCAATCATCGCAGTATGGCATGGTTGTAGCTGGGCCTGGCCTGGTTCCAACTGCGCGAGCAATTAGTTATACCTATGTTAGTACACCTATCTTATGTTGTCTCATTATATGTATACATGTTGTACATCGGTGTATTCTAGTTAGACGCATGCTACATTCGGCCCATTTCAATTCGGCCTGTGCGACCATTTCAATTTACATTTGGCCTAATTCCAGCTGCGCGATCATTGAGTTTTCTCTGTTCTACTTGTGCATATGTTAGTTCGACTTACTTCAGTTAGACGCGGGCGAAGACGCGCCTGGCTTGATTCCAGCTGCGCGAGAATTTAGTTAGATCTGCTTTTCCTGGAGGTGAGCCCGATGGGCCACGCGGAGCCCGCGGAGCCCGGACCAACTACGCCCATTACCGCATCTACTTCGTCTCCTGAGTATCCCAGCCTCTGCCGCCTCGCCTGCTGCCCGGCGCCGTCTCGGCCCGCAGGCCAGACTTTCGATTTTCCATGTCTCGCGCAAATAGACCAAACAAAATTTGGCCTCGCTCAAATATACCGAACTGACAGAGGCATATTTAAAATGTGCCTACCGAAATGCTCGTGCAGGTGGGGTCAAGCCAACCCGGTTACAACCAGGCCTAACCAACATAGGCATATTTTGAATGGGGCCAGGTAGAATAGGTCTCGCTAAAAGAGGCTGACCTAAAATATGATTAACCAAACGAGGGATAACTAAATGCTCGCGCAGCTGGAACCAGGCCAGGCCCAGTTACAGCCAGGCCCAAATACAGTAGGCGTAGTTAAATGCCCGCGATGCTCGGATCAGGCCGGACCCAGCCACGTTCCGGCTTGCCTCAAGGGCCAGGTCTAATTAAGACAGGCCGAATTACAACAGGTCGAATTTACATAGATCTAAATGCTCGCGCAGTTGGAATCAGGCCAGGCCCAGGACATAGGTCTAATTCAACAAGACCGAACGACCATAAGTCTAACACAAACAGGTCTAACTAAAACAAGCCGAACGAAACAAAAATGCATAACTGCGTGATCGCGCAGCTGGAACCACGCGAGGCCCAGCTACAACCAGGCCTCATTAAAATGTAAAGTAAGCCTAACTACATGCTCGCGCAGTTGGATTTAGGCCAGGCCCAGCTTCAACCAGGCCTAACTAATCAATCGGCTTAACGAAAGTAGGTCTAACCACACTCGGCCCAATTAAACTAAACCTAAATCATAGGCTTAATTAAAACAGGCCCAACTGAAACAGGGCTAACAAAATGCTCGCGCAGCTGGAATCAGGCCACGCCCAGCCACAACCGGGCTTGCTGTACATAGATTATATCCAGATGGTTCTAGCTTTAGTCCAAACTAAACACATGTCTAATAAGCTTAACTAAAGTAGGTATAATTAAATGCTCACGCGGCTGGAATCAGGCCAGTCCCAACGACAGCCAGGCATGACCTAACTAGTTCTAATTAAGATAGGTCTAACTCAGATAGGCCAAATCAAGACATCCCAAACGAACGTGGAGTCAGCAGCGCCCCGAGCGCCGCAGGCGCTTCTTCTTCGCGTGCGGAAGTGGCGTGCCGACCTATTTGTCGTTTCCGTCGGTGTGGGTCTTCCGTTGGTTAAATGCTCGCGCAATTGGAATCCGCTCAGGCCCAGCTACAACCAGGCCAACTCGAAGCATGCCTAACTAAAATAGGTCTTACTACAACAGGTCTATAGCCTAACTGGCAGAGGCTTAACTACAATAGGTCTTATCGAATGCGGGCGCAGATGGAACTAGGTCAGGAACAGCTACAACCAGACATCTTTCAATGAGTTCTAATTCAGATAGGTCTAACCCATCCGGGCCAGACAACGATATGTCAACATAATATAGAGTCAGCTGCGCCGTTTGTCTGCGGCGACGCAGGCGCCTGTTTTGTTTCGTCCCCCCCCCCGTGCGGAGGCGGGAGGTTGGTCGTGTTTTCGTTTCAGTCGGTTTGGATCATCCGTCGGTTAAAGAGGGGGGCCTCCTTATGGAGCAGCGAAGCGATGTACTGGGCGTGGGGGACGCATGCGGGCTGCGCCACTCGGGGGCTCAGGTGGAGGTCCCAATGGGGCCACGAAGCGCTGCACTGATGGGGAGAGAGGCACGTGGATTGCGCAGGAGGTTGGATGGGGGCGGAGGATGGGTGGAGGAGGAGGGGAGGAGGAGGGGAGGAGAGGAGAGGAGGGGAGGAGGAGGAGGAAGAGGAGGAGGAGGAGGAGGAAGAAGAGGAGGAGGAAGGAACGCGGGGCGCTGTCTCTTCAACACAAGGACCCACCACCAGAGGATTGTTGGGAATAAGGAGGGGGAGGGAGGAGGAGGAGGAGGAGGAGGAGGAGGAGGAGAAGGATGAGGACGAGGAAGGGGAGGAGGAGGTGGAGGAGGAAGGGCAAGGGGAAGAGGAGGAAGAGGGGGAGTAAGAGGACAGAAGAATTTGATCAAGAGGTCCGACAGAGACGAGGGAAAGTAACAGCAGCAGAAGAAGGGGGATGACAATGATGACCAGGGATGTGGCATGAGGGGGATGATTTAGAGGATGTGGATGTGGAGGCGGGGAAGGAGTGGGAATGCTGAGGACGTTGAATGATGAAACGGGGGTGGACGATGAACTCCACAACGTGGGCAACCTCAGGCGGGGAGGAATCGGCACAGAAAGGAGCGGGATGCGGATGACCACGGGGGGCAGTATACCATTCTGCCCTGCGCATCACCGCTGGTCGTCGGCAAGACGGCGCCAGCAGCGCCGAGGCGGGCTGCGGCAAAACGCCCCGACACCACCGGGCGGGGCTGGAGGTTGCCGAGCCCCAGCACGGTGGCCGAGACTGAGCTTGACGATCAGACTGATCTTGCAACCGTGCTGGCAGCTGCGGTACCCCCTCGCGAGCGGGTTGCGGTTCCAGGGCAGCTCAGCTGTCGCACGCGATTGCTGGGCGTTCGGGCACCATGTTTTTGCCCAGGCGTGGCCTCGAGGCTGCCGTGCTGATTCGTGGATCTCCAGTCTGGTGTTCGGTTCGTGGACGCGGTGGCTGCGAATCAACATAAGATGTCTGGAAAATCTGCTCCGTTGCTGTGTCTGGCTGGGCGCAGTGACGCGCAGGTGCGGTCGTTGATGGATAACATGGCTCTTGTCCGCCCTTGCCCTGTGCGAGAAACGGTCCAGACGTCCACTAGTCCCGCCTGAGGGCGATTCGGGATGAGGACGCGGCATGAGAGGGACCAGCAGCACAAACACCATGAGCAGCAGGAGCAGGAAGAGCAGGAGAGAAGCAGGAGGACAGGAGGACGACGAGGAGCAGGAGGAGGAGGAGGAGGAGTAATTTGGAGGAGCCGCAGCATGAGCCGAGGATGAGGGAGGGGGGGGGCAGGGAGGAGCAGGAGAGGGCCGAGCTGGCGCCGAGGCGAATCGCACCGCCTGCCTCGTCAGCCCCTCCTCTGGGAGGCCCCTCCGTCCCTGCCCCCGCCTCTCAGCTGGCCGGGGCCCCTCGCACCGCCGCCGACTGCCGCCACCAAGGCATGCCAGACCGACGGTCCGTAGCGTCCGTGGACGGCATCCTGCTCGAGGACGACGGCGAGGCCCCGCCGCCGCGGGCCGCCGCGCCCGCCCGCCTCGCCTCTGCGCGCCCAGGCCGCCGCGCCTGCGCGGCCTGTGCGCGCCTCGAGGAGTCGGCACGGCTCCAGTGCTCGATCCGTCCTCTTCTGGAAGAGGCGCGCGCGCGCAAGCGGCGTCGTGATCCTGTGAGAACGGAGAGAGGAAGAGCGAGCACGAGGAGTGCTCTGAATACGCCATGGAGAGGGGTCTTTGTCCGCTCACTCGCCCGATTGGTTTACTCGCCTGCGGGGCTCCAGGGGTCAGATCGGCTCTCGTAAGGAAGACGCGCGCGCGCTTTCTGCGTACGGCAGGTCCGCGTCGGGTTGACGTGGTCTCTACATGGGGATTTACACATAACCAACGCCTGGAGGAACGATATTCGCGGACCTCCACAGGCGGTGGATATGGATGTATGTTGGCCCCCGGGGGCCAAAACATATCGGTGTCCACCGCCCGCTGGGTCCCGAGGACGTCGGTTCCCAGGCGGTGCATATGGATACATCCCCGCCTCGCAGTGACGGCGGCGCCAGTGCGGGCGGTCAATGCCGAAGGCCACCGGCGGTCCAGCATCGGCTGACGTCGAGCGATCCGCGCTGTCGGAAAGCCGCGATCATTCAAGATTGATCGCGCCACGTGTTGTCAGGGACGAACGCCGACGTCTTCACGACACGAACTTGCCACACCAATGCTGAAGAGAAACAGATAGAGAAACAGATGAACGAACATGGGCGGGGCAACAGAAGAGAAACAGATGAACGAACACCAGTTGGCATGTGACGTCATGCTGGGCGATATGAGCTGTCTGAATACCGTGTGCGCTGAGAAGCAGGCTTGTTGAGAAGTCGCCGGGAAGCAGTCTTCAGCTACAGACCATTACTTTGTACTTTCATCCTTGGCGATATCCTCAAATATCATAACACTGCCGGCGGGACGCCGTTGTGCAGAACACCTGCGTGGAAAGGTTTTTGGAAGCAGTATCCTCATGTACAGGTTCACCGACGGGCTTGCAGGACACGTGGGACCAAGGCAAAGCAGCGGCGCACTTTGCCGCCGAGGCCCTGCCGAGGTGCGAACAACACACCATAAAGCCGTGGATATCATCCCGTATACTTGACCTCATACATTGCCGCAGCCTTGCACGATCATATAACAACACGTTGGAAGAGAAAACGTTGTTTAAACAGGTTCGTAGAGCATGCCAGCTGGACACCTTTGCTTGGGTTGATGAACGAATCTCAAGTGGCAGCTGAGATGCCCTGAAAATAAACACTGCTAGTAGAGATGCCCTGAGTGACAGCTGAGATGCCCCAAGAGACGGCGAGGCTTCGTGGTGATCCGCGCATGACGTACCTCCGCTGGGCCCCCCGGAAGCCCACGTTTCGCAGATCGCAGCCGCCCAAAGGGCGGCCTCGTGGTGATACGCGTAAACCGTACATCCGCTGGCCCTCCCAGAAGCCCACGAAAGTGGCGACAGCTTCGCAGATGGCAGCCCCCCAGGGGACGGCGAGGTCGCGTGGTGACCCGCGCAAAGGGTACCTCCGCTGGGCCTCCCAGGAGCCAGCGAAAGTGGCGACGATTTCGCAGATCGTAGCCACGCCTGGGGACGGCGAGGTCTCGTGGTGATCCGCGTAAGACGTACCTCCGCTGACCCTCCCAGGAGCCAGCGAAACAAGCGACTGTTTCGCCAATTTCAGCCGCCAAGGGGGCGGCGAGGTCTCGTGATGATCGGCGTAGGCGGTACCTCCGCTGTGCCCCCCGGCGACGGCTTCGCAGATCGCAGCCCCCCAGGGGCGACGAGGTCTCATGGTGATCTGCGTAGGACGCACCTCTGCCGGCCCTCCCAAAAGCACACAGAAGTGGCGACAGTTTCGCAGATCGCAGCCCTCCAAGGGACGGCGAAGTCTCGTGGTGATCTGCGTAAGACGTACCTCCGCTGACCCTCCCAGAAGCCAACGGAAGTGGCGACGGTTTCGCAGATCGCAACCCCCCAGGGGACGGCGAGGTCTCGTGGTGATACGCGTAGGACGTACACCCCACTGGGCCCCCCAGAAGCCCACGAAGCTGGCGACGGTTTCAAAAGCCCACGAAAATGTCGACACTTTCGCAGATCGCTGCCCCCCCAGGGGACGGCGAGGTCTCGTGGTGATCTGCGAAGGACGTACCTCCGCTGGGCCCCCCGGAAGCCAATGAAAGTGGCGACAATTTCGCAGATCGCAGCCCCCGCCCCACCAAGGGGCGGCGCAGTCTCGCGGGAATTTCCGCGTATGCCGTGCCTCCGCTGAGTCCCCCAGAAGCCCACGAAAGTGGCGACAGCTTCACAGATCTCAGCCCCCCAAGGGACGGCGAGGTTTCGTGGTGATCCGCGCATGACGTACCTCCGCTGGTCCTCCCAGAAGCCCACGAAAGTGGCGACGGTTTCGCAAATCGCTGCCCCCCAGGGGACGGCTAGGTCTCGTGGTGATCCGCGTATGACGTATTTCCACTGGGCCTCCCAGGAGCCCACGAAAGTGGCGGCAGTTTGGCAGATCGCAACCCTCCAGGGGACGGCGAGATCTCGCGCTGGGCCTCCCAACAACCCACGAAAGTGGCGACGATTTTGCAGATCGCAACCCCCCAGGGGACAGCGAGTTCTCGTGGTGATCTGCGTAGGACGCACCTCCGCTGGCCCTCCCAAAAGCCCACGAAAGTGTCGACAATTTCGCAGATCACTGCCCCCACAGGGGACGGCGAGGTCTCGTGGTGATCTGCAAAGGACGTACCTCCGCTGGGCCCCCCGGAAGCCAATGAAAGTGGCGACAATTTCGCAGATCGCAGCCCCCGCCCCACCAGGGGGCGGCGCAGTCTCGCGGTGATCCGCGTATGACGTGCCTCCGCTGAGTCCCCCAGAAGCCCACGAAAGTGGCGACAGCTTCGCAGATCGCAGCCATCCAGGGGACGGCAAGGTCTCGTGGTGATCCGCGTATGACGTACCTCCGCTGGGCCTCTCAGGAGCCAACGAACCTGGCGACAGTTTCGCAGATCGCAGCCACCCATGGGACGGCGAGATCACGAGGCAGGGATGAGGACGAAGAAAACGAGGAGGAGGAGAATGGAGGAGGAGGTGGAGGAGGAGGAGGAAAAGGAGGAGGAGGCGGAGGAGGAGAAGGAGAAGGTCGGGTCAGACAATGCTCTATTCAAAACGCGTTCCCAACACAGGAGGGTCGGAAAACATTGTGGTGGGTCCGAACATACCGGTTTCATTCTGTGAGTTCTGTGCTTTTTTTGTTGTGTCGAGGTCGGGGACGCGGGCCCCCCAGTGCGTGCCGGCACACATCACAGCGCCTGGCAGCTGCGAGCGCCGCTTTGCGAGCGCCGATTCCACCGCCCCTGCGGCATGGAGCAGCACGGCGCCCCTGAGAGCACCACAGGCGCGCGAGCGCTACGGGGCGCCTCGCGAACGCCGTCGCGCCTGTGAGCACCACAGCTTGCATTGCGTGAGCGCCAAGACCTGCGAGCGCCACGGGGCGCTCGAGGTCGCCCAGAAGACGACCGCCGTGAGAGGTGCGCCGTCGTGCGCGCATCACCACGAGACCTCGCCATTTGCCGCGGGCTCCTCCTCCTTTTCCTCCTCCTCCTCCACCTCCTCCTCCATTCTCCTCCTCCTCCTCGTTCTCTTCGTCCTCCTCCCTGCCTCGTGATCTCGCCGTCCCACGGGTGGCTGCGATCTGCGACACCGTCGCCACGTTCGTTGGCTCCTGAGAGGCCCAGCGGAGGTACGTCCTACGCAGATCACCACGAGACTTCGTCGCCACCATGGGGGCCATTGGGGGGGGCAGCGGAGTGACGCGGCGTGCGCGAGCGCCGCGCAACGAACAGCGCATGGTTGTCCGTTGCCCATGCCGCATCCTTTTTGTCAGCTGCTTGTTGTTTGTAATGCATGCGGGCACATGCTACGTGTTGCGCAAGGCGCTGTAGTGTCACAGCGCGCAAAGCGCTGTCCTGCCATGCGAACACAGCGCAAGGCGCTGCTACTGCAACGAATAATGTCTACAATCGTCCCTCCTCCACATGTTTCCACGCCCCCTCGTGGTCGTTGTTCTGCCAACCTGACTCTTCACAGTGACGCCGCATAGGTGAAACATCTGACTATGGCCCGACGTTATTTGGCGAAGCGTTCAAGGGCATTGCGGATTATTCAATGACGGTTTCAATATTGAACGATCCGATGTATATTCGCCTCTAAAATCCAGGGTTTGGGTACGCCCCCAGGTAATTTGAATTTTGGCCCCGTCGGGACCCTGGGGGCAGGCGCTGTGGTGTACACAGGCGTGTGCACAGGCACTCTGGTGCACACAGGCAACAAACAGTATGGTGCACACGGCTGGTGTGGTGGCGCAATCATCGTGTTGTACATCGTTGTGGTGCACGGCAACACTTCTGTACCCTGGACCCCGAAAATCAAGAATGACAGAAAGTTCGCAGATTGAATGTGGTACGTTCGGGCCCGCCACGATATTCTGGATTTGGTGTTCCCCGTCGGGACTCTTGGAGGTGTACACAGAATTTGTGGTGTACGTAGGCGCGTGCATATGCGACAGGGGTGGTGGTGCACACGGCTGATGTGGTGGTGCAAGCATTGTGTTGTGCACCGGCGGTGTGGTGCACGAGTGCACCGCGGGCCAACAACAAATTCCATGGCGAAGGACCCAACCATATGCAATTGTAAATTCCGCAATTGTGAGGCCCGCCTTCGGTGGAGATCCCTGTGGGGCCACCAAACGCGTGAGGGGTGTGCCGAAATGGGTGCGGTGGCGCCATGCGAACCCTGCCAGTGGGCCTTTCGGTGGAGCTACCTCTGGGGCCACGAAGCGTGTGAAGGGTGTGCCGAAATGGGTGCGGTGGCGCCATGCGAACCCTGCCAGCGGGGCCTTCGGTGGAGCTACCTCTTGGGCCACGAAGCGTGTGAGAGGTGCTCCGAAATGGAGCGGGGCCGCCATGCGAACTT